TGTGTGTGTGTCTCTGTTTGTGTACTCAGGCTTGGCTTCCTTTTAAGGCGAATGGAGCTCATGTGTTTTTATTTTGACGCTGTGCTCTTGTGCCTGTGTGGTTAGGTTTTTGGCTTTTAAAGCAAACAACCTCTGTATACGCCTTGCATATATTCTTCTTTAGCTGTATATTTGCATAAGGGAGACAGATAAAGAAGACTCTTTGTGTGAGTATGTGTGTGTGCAGCCTGCTGTTCAGAGAAGTGGCATTTAAGCCCATATTCAAAACACCTGCCTGAATCCGTGTCTTAACCTTGAGCTCTGTACACACCACAACGCCTGAGCTCTGCACCTGTATTGTGTGTTTGGTGTGTGTGCTTACATCTCGGTGCCTCTCCCCCACGTTTGGCGACAGAGCCACTATACCTTCAATTGCTAAAATGCAGTGGAGATAATGGATTGAGAGAGGAGAGAGAGAGAGAGAGAGAGAGAGAGAGAGAGAGAGAGTAGTGTTTGGATGCAGCTGGAGAGATTGGATGCCGCTGTGTAAATGATGTCTGTTTTCCTTTCTGTTGCAAAGTCGGCACCCCCCGCTGTGTTTAGAGAGCGAGAAAACTTTAGACAGGCACAGACTAGTTGCGGGCACACACATACACACAAACTCACATACTCTGGAGGACCTTGGGTGGATTAGCTGGAGCTTGGCGGTGGAGACAGAGATGCTTGCGTGCTCGCTTCCTCCCCCCACTACCACCTCCACCCCACCTCCGCTCCTCAGCGCCACTCCTGCTCGCCTGCCCGGGGCCAGGCTCAGGTTTCAATAAGAAGGAGGGTGGTAAAAATAACCCCTGCTTTCTTCTGCTTCTCCCTCCTCCTCATCATCCTCTTTCTCCCTCTTCTAACTCCCTAACCACCTCCCCATATCCCCCACCGCCCTTACCTTAGATCATGTTACTATTGACAGAGAGAGGGAGGAGGGAGGTCAGAGAGAGAGATTAAGTGTGGGGACTGACAGCTAGATAGATATCATACACCACATCGTCTTCACAACACCTTAAACACAGCACAGCAGTACACACATATACACACATATACACACGGTGGAAAAAACTCTTTTTCTTCTTTTTTAAAAATTCTTTTGATGGTGTTTTTTTCATTAAAACAGTCAAAATACAGTAAAGTAAAACAACCCTACTGAGTTCATGCTGAGGTCAGGCTCAGACCATTAACAATGCATGGTTGTATGCATGTAGCTTCATTCAAAGAGGTATCCCATCCATCAGTGCTGTCTTCTTTATGAATGATCTGTGTAAAAGCATGTTTTGTGGCTGATATTTCAGGAAGCTTGTATGTCAGAGAGTGCAGTAATTATTAAAAAGGCAGAAGCTCTGTAAAATTAATTCTAAGTAATTATTTGTTTACGATGGCAATGTGTTCTGATTTTAAAACTGCATAAGGAATGATTTGTATCCTAAAAGTACACCTGTCTTATCAGCCAAAATCACAGAATGTGACAGAAAATTCACTCCCTTCAAATTGCTCAAAATTACTCAAATGAAATTCTGGTGTTTAGGATACACATCGTTCTGAAGAGTTAACAGACTGGTTCCTAAGCTGCAGTAAGCCTTCTGTTGGACTGAAATGTGATTTTGGGTATTGAACTACAAATTTTCCAAAATGTGTGACCTCTGGCTGACTTTTGAAGCTGTGTAGTAAATTTGATGCAAGTATGTGCTTGAGGCAAATTCCTCACAATCATGACTGACATGGAGATGAATGTGTATGAATACACAAGATAATTATTACTAAATTAATAGCAAGTTAATATCTTAATGGAGGTTTTACAGTTACAGTGCATTTTCAAGGTAGTACTTATCCCCTGATGAGTTGTATATTGACGGTTACTGATTGGTCATAATATAAATGTCTCCCTCCTCTCTCCAGAGAACTCCCAGAGCCCGGTGGTGGAGGCAGGCGGCAGCCACGGCCACATGAGCCCTGAGGAGCACTACAGGCGCATGATGTCAGCGCTCAGCGAGCAAGGGTCCTACGAGGAGCAACAACAACGGCTCTACCAGCTGGCGAGCAGCATGGGTCTGCCCGGCCACGGTCAGTCTACAGACTTATACAGTATTTGTGTGTTTGTGTGTGTGTGTGTGTATGAGTGTATCAATCATCATCCTCAGTGTTATCCTATTGGCCTTCAAATATCTGCAGATTTCTGCATTCAGAATAGCGTTTCCTAGTCTACCAGTAAGAACTGACTCATGAAAGATCTAGAGGTATGTTTCCTTTAGTCCTTTTCTTTATTTTGAAGTAACTTTAGACTTAGTTTGAAGAAACTTGAGATTTACTTCAAACTAAAAGGGTTTCCTTTGGAAGCACTTCACCAGCTTCTAAAAAAAACACCTCTTCCATCACCTGTCACCCAGTCACCGAGATGCAGTGCTACTTTGTAACCCCAGAGTGTAGCACTGTGTTCAGGGTACCATGTTAAGGTGTGCCACACTGCTGCCATTGTAAAACCCCAGCCATGGAGATGGCTGACACTTCTATTTGTGGTGCTTGCCCACCCAGTGTCAAAGTGTCAGTCAAGGTGATTTCTGACCACCATGGCTCTCCGTTGTTAACACCCACAAACCTTCGCATGCATCAACGCCACGATTGATCCGGGAGCTCTCATTGGCTGTCTGCCAACCCTCTAAATCTCCCTACACCCTGGAAACCACCAGTGTGTCCCAGTTTTTCACAATTTCTATAGACACATAAAATTTACTGGGTTTAGCTTAAGAGAATTGTAGTGTGATAGGGAAAAAAGGAAAATGAGAAAAGTTGCCTCGTTGGGATTTTATAAGCTGGCTTTATATTCATTTCACTCTGCCTGCCATTAAATTTTAACCTTTTTCTCACATTTTTGTAAAGAATGTAACATTAAGTCCTACCAGTCTTTATGAGCTCTTTCGCAGTAGCATAAATCCAATCGATGCCCTGGCCGAATTGTAGTTTGAGCTACTTTTATTTTTATTTGATTAGTAATGATTTTTAATTGCTGGCTGCAAATCTAGGGGGCGAAGCCTATAAACGCTTTAATTGCCTTTTCCCCATGTCTTAGAGGAGTTAGAAGCAAGAGGCAGTGCATTGTGGGGGTTTTATGGCCCAGGGTGCAGTCTGATCGCTGGCTTCCTTTCCCAGAAGCCTTGCTGGTATGAAGCAGACGCTCTGGCGCAATACAGACACACTCGCTCCCTTCCTTCACTCAAATTGCAAATCGTTTGATAGTTTCCATGCTGTCCTTTATTCTGCACACGTGCGTTCGTCTTCCAAGCCGCACTTAAAAGCTCTCTACAGTATGTGCAGTAGTAGAAGAAGAGAAACAGGTAAAGAGAAACCAGGAATAGGCATAAAAAAAAACTGACGAGAGAAGAAATGAGGGAAGAACAGAGACGAGGGAAGAGTGAATAAATAACTTGTCCTGGAGCAAGAAATCAAGAAAAAAAAACATACAAGTTTACGGTTTATTAATGATGCTCAGGTACAACTACCATTTAAAACACAACTTCACGGTAAGATTTCCTTTTAGCGACGTGTGTGTTTGTGCGTGTCAGATCCTCTAAGCGGATGATGAGCCATGGGCATCTCAGGCTTTGCCAGCGCTCCCTGACAGCCAAGCCTTTGGTGTGGCTAATTTTCCTTTTCTTCCCCACCTGGCAACTTCCTCCATCTATCACACTGACTGCTTACAAGTTTATGCAGAAAACTTAATATAACACTACCTTCACATCCTCCGTCTCCAATTAACAGTTTGAGGTTGAAGAAACTGACACTCTCACACACAAACAGTATAGGTGGGACGGAGGGGCGGCTGTTTTGTCTCTTGAGAGGCTGACGCGAATCACTTCAGCGAGAGCCCCTTGACATTGACCTGGTCTCCGACGGGGCCCCTGTGACCCCCTCCTCCCCCCTTCCTCCCTCCTCCCCTCCGTCCCCCTCACCCCTGGGCCCCACCCAACCTCCACATCCCTCCTAATACATCTCATCCTCAAAGCACCGCTTTTATACCTCCCTCCTCCTCCTCCTCCCTTCTTTTCCTTAACCCCCACCCCAACTTTCCTTTGCCTTGGTCCCCCGCAGAGCATCAAGCTTTCATGTGTTGAATGTAGGCACCAGAAAATTAAAGTGTGTTCGTGAAAGAGGCCAGGGGTGAGGAGAACTCTCTGTGTCTTGTGTGTGATTGCATGAATGTGTGGGTGCAAGGTTGCCTCCTTGAGAGGTTCTCCTCCTGGACCTGATGGGCAAAAGAAGAGTAGGAAGTGGAGGGGGAAGGGATGAAACTGGTGAGGTGAGGGTGCGGGTTGTAGAAATGCCAGG